CACCCTCTCCCCCTCACCGTCACTCACACTCACCCACAGGTTCACTCACCCATTCACCCACCCACTTATTCACCCACACACTCACCCACAGGCTCGCCCATTCATCCATTTACCCTTGTACTCACTCACAGACTTATTCAGATAGTCACCCACTCACATACTAATTTGCCCACTCACCCATCCACCAACTAATTCAACCAGTCGTTCACCCACTCAACCTCTCACTCACCCTCCCTCTCACCCATCCACTCACCCGACGAGCCACTCATCCACCCACTCACTCTCTCATTTCACCCACTCTCTCACCCTCTTATTCACCCACAGACTCACCCCCCACTCACCCTCTCACCCCCACCGAGTAGACAATAGGGCTGAGGGGCCACGCCGTGCTGAGATGGAGCCCGCGCTCGGCACAGCGGGCGACGTAATGATCACACACCCGGCGGCTGGAGGGACCATTAATTATCCCTAAAACGGGTGTGACTAATTGATGTAAATGAGGACTGAACGCAGAACCAATTCTGTCATTGGTTTAAATATATACGGAATGGAGTTTTTGTGTGTGTGTGTGAGACACCTCAAATGCAACTGTAATATTCGTGCACCCACCAATATCACGAGGATATATCGATGGGTTTTGTTGTTGTTTCTACTTGCTTCATCTGTCTGATTTATTATTATTTTGATTCCAACATTTCGGTTCGCTGTCCATTCCAGCGCTCGTCACTTCATTGAGCACCGTGTCAAGATCCCGTTCCCCCGTTTTGTTTCTCGAGATATTTTAAATCTCTTTTACATATGATCAGTTTAAATTCTCCAGCCTGCCGAACTCGGTTTTTATTTTTCTTCTTCTTCAAACGTTAACCGTGACATTTTAAAGATTACCCTTTTGTTTTTCTCGTCCAGACCAAAACGGCCCATTGAGGACGAAAGCATTACATTTCGTGAATATAACAATGATGAGTAAACGGGATGCGCATGCGACACTTAGATCGACCAGCAGCGCGGGTCACACAGACTTGGGTCCCGAAACCTTCAAAATCTTCTCCTCCACGTCTCGCCGTAATGAGTGATTCACGGGGCTCCCCCCCCCAATCCCCCTACCCCACCGCCACCTCTTTCTCTAAAGGTCTCTTTCTCCTGTCTCTGCTATTATCTGCCTGGCGCTATCGACTATGGGCCCGAGTCTTATTTTCTCGCATCAATAATGAAAGACGCGCACAAGCTGAGTGTGAGCTTTTTTTTATTCTGCCATAAAGGCGAGGGTGAGCAATAAGGAGCCGTGCGCGCATGAGCGCTGCATCATCCCCCGCTTTGGCCCCAGGTGTTGTCGTCGTCGTCTTTGTGTGCAATACACTTGACTGGCGATAAACGCTCACACAACTATAGCATTTGTTGCGGTAAATGAATGAAAGCAAATTCTTGGTGTTGGGTGTAGAGGGAGAGGCGGGGAAGGAAGGAGGGGAATGAGGGAGGCAGGGAGGCAGCGAGCGAGGGAGACGGGGACAGAGGCGGTGCACAAAAGCACAGATTAGGTTTTAGCTGCTATCTCGCGAGAATTTTAGAACTGAGAGATGGTGCCCTAGAGTATGCGAGTGCGATGGTGGTTTGTAACGTTTGCCCGAAATCGACTCATCAGGGCCCGTGCACCGTGGTAATGGGGCAGGACAGAGCAGCCTCCCTGTCTTCTTCATCCACTGCGGACTTCTCTGGCTGCAGGTAGGGGGAGTGGTGGTAGGGGGTAATGAAGGGCAGCCAGGAGGGAGGCTGGATCCACTCGCACATGGGGTGGGCACTGGCTGTTTTTTTCCACTGGCACATCTGAAGCCGAATCAGAATGGGGCCGTTATGGTACGGGTGGTTTTCCACTTTATTTGCCACTGAAACCAAACGGTCATACAGTATCGTGATATTCTGGCCTCGCAAGACATCTGAACCTTGCTTTGGGGCCAAACAGGCTTAGGGGGGGCAGGGCATACGACGTGTTTATTGCGTCTGACGTCAGTCATACTGTGAGGACACAGAACCACATGACATGGTTCGGGTTCTACGTTGGGGAAAAATAAAACCTGGCATTTCTTGACCTGTGTTGTGTTGACTCGACATCGCCCTGGCAAAGCACGGTTGTATCGTGAACGACGAGAGCCAGAGTCGCCGAGTTGGTCGTTGGGTGATGATCATCTCTCCGTTTGTTGTATCTGGGTCGTGAGCAGAAAGCTTCACAACTCGACACCAGGGACCATTTCCCACCCGAGAAATGGTCCCTTGTGTGATTCCGTAACCTGGAGATCGTGAGTTGGGAATTCTGACACTTTGCCACGTGGGCAGATAGGTACATTAATAAATGTGTTTGTCAATGAGTGGTTTGCATGCAGGAGGAACCCAGAACACCCAGGGGAAGAAAAAAAAGACACGGACGAGGAGATAACACAACGCTCTGCACAGATGGTTTCAATAATCCATTGCTGTACTGTCATCTCCTGACCACCTCCTAGCCCACGCCGACAACATCCGGATGACTTGCTGGGGTTGGTGAGAGAGTTATTCCTCGTGGCTGGTTAGCTCGCTGGTTAAGGTTACGGTCAGTGGGAGGGCTAGCCGTCGTGTGATTGTCTAGTTGGTTAGGGTTAGGATTAGAGCTAGGATTTTATTAACTCGTAAAGTCCACCCCCAATGCGTTTCCCCTCCTCCACCCACGGTTGAGAACGACATTTCAGTTTCTCTGGCCGCTTCTTCGCTGCTGGCCGCTTTCCATCATTGCAAGCACACGGAGCCACCGCCGTGGCCCTTTAATGAATTAAACATATGCGAACCCTGCGGAAATTGATTTACATGTTAAGTGGTCGGAGAATCATTGGTGCTTGAGCAGGAATTTTCACTCTTCGCGTATGGAACGCCACACGTAATCCACGCGTGATAATTAAACTTAGAGCTACACCTAACGAGGGCCGAATGCGCTAACGCGCAAATTGATCGCCATACAACCGAGCATGAAATATATAGATTTTTTTTTTTAACAAAGCTATTCCACAATTAGAATTGAATCCAACGCACTCCTTTGTCTCGCCAGCTCGGTGATCCCGCAAGCACAAATTTAACGAGATAAGCTTCAGAAGGAGTGTTCACAGAATAAAAAAAATAGATACTCATTCAGGTTCATCCTTTACAAATATTACGTCACACCACCTTCGCGCTGACAAACAGATCGGCAGCGAGAATGAATCGCTCTCAATACGCTGTTAAAGCACGGCCTTTCACACCGCCACTCCCTTATCGTCGCATTATTTGAGGGCTTTACTCAAGAATAAACCCGTGACCTTTGCCCCGTGTTTGCATTAAGCTCCATTTGATCTGCCGACCGAAGGATACGAGCACAATGGATATTTCTGGTCGAGAGGGCGAGAGACGCACACACAGAGAGAGGGAAAGAGAGAGAGCCCCCAGAAAAGATGTTTCACCGCGTTGCGCGGCGTCTGTGGCTGGGCCAATAAGCGTTAAACAACGCGTGTCATGCCTTGTGATGCGCCGTGGGGCTTTTCTAGTTTATGTTTAATAATAATCCAAATTTATCACATTTTGTCGAGGAAACTTTAAACGAGCTCGCGTCGCGCCCGTAGCAAGTCAGCGGAAAGCTTCTAATGAAGCTGCGTGTTAGCCGTGCTTAATTGGGCTGAATCCTGAGACCCGAAGCAAAATAGAGGTCCTCCAACGCTCTCTTCTCCATCTTTCTCTCCTTTGTATTGTTACTCCGACTGCTGCTGCTGCTGGAGTGCCTTGCTTTTATATATAAAAAAAGGAAAGAACATCCACTCATGCCCACGAGGAAGAACGTTTTAAAAAGTGTAGCGCCAAGAATCACGCAGACTCGCTTCATGCAGCATTTACACGTGTCATTTGTACTTGAAGAGACATCACAAGGAGGGCACTTAAGGACCCAGCTTCTAATGACATTAGTTTGGATGATTTTTTTAAATGCATTTTTCTTGCCAGCATATACAGCATACTGCTGCATGAGCCATGCATAAAGGGAGGCCAACATATCAGCTCTGAATAATGTGCATAATGTTCTGAACAGCCCTTTGTCAATCCATTGGTGGATGAAGACTTGCTCACGCACTGTCATGATGGGTTGTTTGACCATACTTCGCCATGCTGCTTTGTGCCGATTGGTGAAGGTTGTTTGAAAGGGGTAGGGGGCAGGACCTATTCAGATATCCCTCGTTAAAGATATTTGCCGTGTGAAGCTCAGGTCACCGGGTTCATAGCACAACGCGATAACCAGTGCGCCACCACTCCGCTCTGTAAGATCTTAAGAGTATGTTAAATACTCAACACAGCTGATTTGGTCAATTGTAAGAAGAGTAAAGACACTGCCTGTGGAGGATAAGAGGCCAAATTCAGAGGTGGCTAGTTAGCTTCCGAGTCGAATACCGCGTCTGTGCCTCGAGCCGACACTGCGGAGATGCTGGGTTGAATTGGGTTTGAGCCACTCATGGTTAGACTGGGTTCTCAAGTATGTCGGGTTCATGGTCTCAGCCTGATCACCGATGATTACAAGCAGGCCTCGTCATATTAAATGTAGGCTTGTCGCTTAATGCAGCTTATCCCAGCTCTGAGATAAAAAAAATCACATTTGATTGACCGGTGACGATTACCATTTGCAAGACATGTAAAAATGTGCCCTTAATTGTGGATAAGGTTAGGAAATGTAGACGTCGTTCTGTGAAGTCAACTCCTGGGGACTGGTTTCTTTCATGGAGCCATGTACTTGCTAGTCGTGAGCGCTCTGGTTCCAATACCACTCACCACTTGACGTTAGCCATGGGCCGGGAATCGAACTCAGGTGACTGGGTTCATAATGCAGTGCGCAAATCACGCTGCTCATCCCGCGATAATAATCATTGAAATAATCTGTAACGATTACACGTAATTATGCTTCCACAGATGCATGCCTTACACGCGCAAGCTTCAGCAAAATAACGAGCAACGACACATTCATATGTCCTATGTACGTAAGGGGTTAATTTTTTTTATTTTTACGTAATTTCTTTTTTTATATCAAGTCTCGCGAAGACGACGTACAGTATTAAACACGAAGCTTGGTGTATAGCTGTCATTCACCATTCTGCATCACACGTCCGTAAGGTTTCTGAATCCACCTTCAGCCCAGCGCGCGGGCACGCACAGCGAACTGTGATAGCAAACGGGAACGGTCCCCACGTGGATTCTTGGAAGTGCCCAACGTCGCGCCGTCTTTTGGTAAGGAGCCTCCTCTCTCCGGGCCGGATCAACGCAACAACAACCCGGCTTAATTATTCGTGGGAATACAAACCACCTCCGCGCCTCAACAATCGACTTGAGTTGCCGGCGCAGATCATAATTGTGAATTAAGTAGATTCTGCGAAGTGTTTTTGTGTTTTGTTTACAAAATATACAACTTAAAATCCAGTGTAACTGTTTAAGCATCATAGGCGTACAAATTATATGAAAAAAACAGCAACTTTGGATCCAATTACAAAAATTACGGGGGGCAAAGTTTTAATGGAATTTGGTAAATGATACTCTTTGGTTCTATTGGGTAAAGTCAATAGAACCAAAGAGTATGGATCCTAGCAGTCACGAAAGCTTTAAATCTAGAATTGGTAAATGATAGTTGGGAACTTTGCAGGAGGTGGGTTTTTCTGGTTGCTTCTCTCCATACTGTCCGACGGAATACCAACATTGCATTGCTGTTACAAGGCAGCGGATACCTGATCATTGGCTGTAAAGGCTTCACCACCGTCTTGATTAACGCGGCCTCATTCTACAGCTGAAAACAAATATGAGCTAACATTTATGGTAATGACCATTCATCAGAGCAGAGCGGGACAAAGAGACAATATTTTAACTCTGCAAGTCTGATGCCTCCAAAATTCCAAATTCCAAGTCACCCGATCTTCCACCGATACCAATTCCCCGTGACGTCGGCCGATTTAAACTTGTAAATTTAAGTCACGAAGCAATATTTGTCAATGAGGACATTTGGTACAGGTGCGTTGCCTCTTCAGCACGGGTTTCTGTGACACTCCAAGTGCAGTCCCTTATGTTCCACTTCTTGCCGAATACCTCTGAACAAACTGACCTAATCGCCTAACACTTGAACGGAACGCAGAGATTGGCCGAGCCGGTCTCGTGAATAAACGTCTCCAAATCGAACGGATTCCCGCCTGTCAGTATTAAGCCGCCAATTCGTTTTAATTTTCTCCCGGGGCGATTCGGATTTCTTTTCGTTTTTTTTTTGTCCCGCGTTTGGGGGGCACCGCAGCGCCAATGAACGCGCGACGCACGTGGCTGCGTGACGCGGCTCGTGTGGCAGAAAGGCAAAGGTGGGGGGGGGGGGGGTAACACCAGAATGCACTTTGTATAAAACGTACCACGTAACGTTTGTAATGTCTGTATACACAATACACACATAGCAGCCACCTACAGCACTTATTTTCGTTTTACTCCCCCGCCCCGTACCGCCCCACCCACCCTTCAAATTTACATCCTTTAAATATCGTTATCGATTTACAGGAAAATAAAATAAAAACGCACATCAATCTACATGCACCGCCACCTGCATCTCCAGCACAGCGCATGCGCCGAATACGCGCGCCGACATTTAGTGCTGTCAAAGCGGCTCCGTTCCATCACAGGAGGCTCATCCCCCTTCCTGCACGGCCGTTATTCTTGCAGACGGTTTGCGATAATCATCAATCGATTACGTGAAGTGTAACGTTGCCACTCCAGCAAATATACCGTGTAGAGGAATTCTGAAACAATACGTGTACTTTTTTTTCTTCCCCTGTCGCCGTCTGTTAAATGTTCAGCCGAAATGTCTTTCCGAAGAGCGGCGTTCACACAAAGCGGCCATCTCAAGTGCTCAATTTGGAAACGATGTGCTTGTGTCAATTTTCATTTAATTTGGCAACGGTGTCAATACGACTGACATGTAACTGACGTCTCCACAGCAGTACGGGTCGGAGAGTGCAGCAGCATCCCCTGGTGTAGACAAAGAGGTCCCTTGGAACCTCAGTAGTTCTGGATAATCACCTCCAATGGGTTTTTCTCAAACACCGGTTGATGCATGGAGTGGTGCAATAGTTCCTAAAGGACATTTTTTTCTGCACGAGTGGAATATAATTGAGAGAAAATAGATCTTGTCATGTCAGCCAACCCGGTCTTCTTTTGGGAAACATTTTACATAATTTGCCTTTAATGTATTATTTAATTTACACGTTACTATTTGTACACGCTTACGACGGGTAGCAGAAACCTCCCGTGCCTTCTCTTTCATACGACTGCTTACCGTCGAATGTTGCATCTTACGAGAGTGTAAGATCGCATTGCAGCGTTCCACAGGAGGGGAATAACAGGCTGATTTAATACAAATAAAAACATAACTTGGGTTTTTGGACCGCACTGTTTCGGCGGGCGGGCGGGCGGATGGGGGGGGGGGGAGGGGGGGCACTCCTGCCCCATGTTAGCGGAGCCAGGTTGGCATGCGGCACGGCCCCACGCGACCGGCCTTCGTGCGGCGGCACGGGAAGAGACGAGCAGCAGCACGGCGACGCGCGACAGCGCCACGTCCTCGAGCAACAACAAAAAAAAAGCCGGGCGCCACGCGTCTCCAAGCAGTGCAGCCTCCTCCTGCTCCATCCATCCACCCTCCAACCTCCAACCTCCCTCCCTCCCTCCCTCCTCCGCTTTGTTCTTAATTCATCCTCGTAGCAGAACTTAGCAAGTAATGGAATAGCAACAATTAAATATGAAATAAAATGAAGGTAAAGATGGCTTCGGTCTAAATAACAAAAAAAAACATTATTTGCCATGATGATAATAACAATAAAACTGTTAGATATGAGGATAATGTAAAAAGGGAAATTTAATAAAAACAATAGTAATAAAAGAGACGGTGGGAATTCTGCTTGAGATGAGCCAAGGGGAGTTTGACGGGGTCACGCACGCCGGGGGCACACGGGCACGGGGGGCACTCGAGATATGCTGCTGATGTTACGAAGAAAAAGGTTATAAACTTGTTACAATTCATTTACAAACCGCTGATGACATCATAGCAGTTTAAATGCCCGCGCGAGCAGCCGGATATTTCCCTCTTAATACGCGCGACAGGCTCCTGGTGCGGCGCGAGAGGCGTTGTGCGACACCGACACGAAGCCAGCACGGGGTCATCGCCGCCGCCGCCGCCGCCGCCGCCGCCGCTGCTGCTGCAGAAACGGCAAATGGAAATTCAGCCAGGAGAGCCAGCGGCCGCGAAACGATCACCCTGCCACCGTTTTCTCGCCAACACGCCCGAACGCACGCACGTGTGTCGAGTCGGACCAAGGATCACCATCATTATCATTATTATCATCATGATCGTTATCAGCTTTGTCTACCTTCAGATATGATCATTGACAAGGATGCCCCGTTATAATTACCATTGTATCTGCACAATCGCTGCGGTTAATATCAGAGCTGTCCCAGCTGCATTCGACGCAAACTCCGGCGAGTGCAAGGCGTGGACCACGGGGGGCCGTCAGGTCGCACGTGATGTTTTTGGGCTGTATCTGCATGGCAGGATGACAACTCGTGACCTCGTGGTCCAATCGATTAATGTTGCCAACTCCTTAAAGCGGAAAGTAGCCGAAACGAACTTCTAAGAATCGCTAGATGTGCACCAGATAGACCTTCTAAAGTCGACTAACATGTCGCCAGATAGTTGACCAAGTATTAAAACAGATGATCCTTAATACACACCTGGAATCACGTCAACAGGCAATTTACCAAGTATTCAACATAGTAAACTAATACCAGATCCTTAATACAAGCATGGAATCGCTGTTGAAATCTGCGTTACGTATTCGCCCCAGAAAGTCAACAGATTTTTCCGCTTTGACGGAATTTTGCCGCTCGGGGAAACTCAAAAGTTCGCTGGGTCTGGCGACAAAATCGCCGAGTTTGGCAACACCGCGACTGACCGACCTGGCAGCTGCCGCATTGAAAAAAAACTGCGCACGCGTAACACAATTCCGCACTGCCGGCAGAAATATCCGAACACGCACAATGTTGAACCAGCTCTACAGCGTCCACTTGAAGACTTCTACATGAGCTTCAAAATCTTCATACTACCATGCATTTAACATTCTCACAGTATCTTATTTACTTGTCGTTACGCGCTACTGTAAATATAAATATATTACAGATTGGACATCACTGAGTCACGTAACAGTGGTAACAGAGATGCATAACATGAAACACAAAAAAAACCGAACTGTTCATTTGTAAAAGGCTCTTTTAAAAAAAAAACAGTATTTAAAAAATGTATATGACAACACAATTTGTTGAAAATCCCTGCTACCTTTTTATACAACGAGTAACACAAAGAAAAAAAAAACTTCATTTGTTTTTTGCCCTGAATGAGTACATCGTGTGTACAGCTGGCAAACTTTTGTGTATAAATATCAGCTTTTTTAGTGTCAAAAAAAGCCCTTGCATACCTTAACACATTTCATCATGGCAAAAATGAATTATACAATTACCTGAGGTAACAGCTGTTTGTCTGAGGCCGACGCATAACCCACCAGTGATTTATCTGGACTCTCCTTTAAAATTTCAAGGAAAAAGTCGAATATCTGCAATTAGCCCACGAGACCCCCCCCCCCCCCCGCCGCCTTACACCTCAGCAACAACCACGGCAGAAGGCCGATCTGTCGAGGGAAAAACTGGAATTCAAGTCGCGGGGTTTAATAATTCCGTTAACTGATGTTTGAAAGCTAACGCGCCGCGCTGCTTGTCACGAATTTTATAATATCGGCCACGTCGGATTGGGTATTGGCGTGCTTTTGTAACGCCGGTAAAAGTAAAATTACCACGGTGCACAATTGTAAACTACAAGAGTCACGATCAGATGAATTAACCAAGTGTAAGGCATCTAAAACAAATTTTGTCAGTAATTTATGTGTTCATCAAAAAAAAACCTTAAGTACATATGGCATCAATAATTCTTCAAGGGTAGCGATTAATAACTCAATTGGTGTCGCCGGGTCGATCCGCTGACAGTAGCTCTCAATTTTAAACGGCAATTCTGCGAGGGAAGGGCTCGCTCAGCCCCCACCTTCGGCTCTCTGAAGACCGACATCGTCGTCAGCCTGACATGGTGGGTCAAGAAGCTGCAGGACAACCCCAGCAGCGGCCTTTGCAGCGGAGAGTCAAGAGGAACCACTGGGATGAGGTGGAGGGCCCACTGGGGTCTCCTTTCCAAGTCCCAAATTGTCCTGGAAGTCCGTGCGAGTTTTTTGTTCAAGCCCCCTTTAAGAGTTAAACGGGAGCATTATTCCGAATAAGCCATTCCCCAGCTAATGCCGTTAAAGCATTAAGTGCTCTACTGTTTATTTGGCCTATGTATAAAAAATAACTAGGCTGCATTGGTATTTTTTTATTTTATATATTTTTTAGGCGCATAGGCAAATTGCCGTTTGGTTGGAGGTCAGTCCGCTGTACAATCATCGGGCTGTGGTGACTACTGCAGTCGGCTGCCACCTGGGCACCGGGCGTGGTGGCGCCCCGTTCGACCAGGAGCTGTCGCCAACGATGTCCCCGCAGCTGCCTGAGCTTGGGCTCCTGCCCCCGGAGCGGGGAGAGCGGCGGTGAATGGGCACTCCAAAGGCATGACGTGACGGACGGGCATTAAAAACGTGGCATGGACTTCCAAGAAACGCAAAGCGGCGCTTTGCGGGCGCGCGCTGGCCGGCATGGAAGCCGGAGCCATCGTCGCCGCAGCCACCGTGTTGTCTGTGACGGGAGTCCGTACGAGGTTCGGATGTAGAAATACAAAGAAAAAACCATCACGAGAGATATATAAAAAAACACATTCTGTCCAGAACTGTTCATCGTACAAAAAAAGGCTCCAAACTCTCCAGCAAACGCTGCACATGTCTTTTTTTTCGTTCGTAACCAGAAGAATATTATTTACCCCTGTCCCCTCCCGCACCCATCCCGCAGCTCTCATTTAAATACTATACAGTGCAGCTCGAATGAAAAATGACCGATAAAAACACTTCGTCAACCAATCTAAAATAGTAAAAACTGCATTGTTGTACAAAACATGGCAGGAAAATGTCACAGTTACAAATGTTGCGTGTTGTAATTACCCAAACCTGCTGGCCCGGGCGCTACGTGTATGTTTTCGTTTCTAAACTTTCCGTTCGCTTTTACGCTGCACATTTTCTTCTTTCAGACTGTCGCCTCAACTTCCCGCTCCACAAAAATAAGTGCTATGAAGTTTCCCCTCCCAACATCCCTCCCCTGTCTCCCCCAGGGGGTCCCAATATATTCCCTGGGCCCACCCACCCCTGCCCCCCATAAACCCCACGTCGCCCCTCATTCTGTGTGGACCCTGAGACTCGGTCCAGTGGGTGAAGAAGCCCCCTCGTGCCTCTGGCACTCAAAGAGGTCGCCAGGCCCAGCAGCCCCGGCCAAGGCGACCACAGAGTCTCCAGGTACGACCCTCGCTTTTGCAAGTCCTGCCCACGGGTGTGGTAGCCACCCATCCTGGTTTTCCCAGGGACTCCTCTTTTCGAGGCAGCTGTCCCGGGAAACTTGCAAATCTTTCAAGAAGCATTATCAGTTAGGCGATGATCGACCACCGAAATCACGAAACATTTTTTTTTTACAGGTAGTCCATCCCCTCTTCCGGTATTATGAGACATTTTTGTACCTGCCACGGTTACATCTTGGTGTCTGCGTACCCCCGAGGGTGGCAACCGTACGCCGATGATGGAAATCTCGTGATTACGCCACAGCACCTTGTGGGAATTTACAGGACATTAGGGTTATTTAATTGCAGTTATCTGCAAAAAAAATCAAATGACAACAAAGTATCTGCACAACAATATATCTGTTTTTTTTCATAGAAATGTACTGCTTTTTAAAATTCCTGACTAAGCGGACACCGCTGTAGATTTTTCCGAATCTGTGCCACATGCATTATTAGCACCTCATGTGTGGCAGGGTGGGACATATATAAAAAATCTGCTTTAACAAGTTTTCGTCTCTCGTTCAGGCGAGTCAAGACGTTCCAATAAAGGGACCTTGTCCATTCTGCTTAATCGGTCCATTGAGGGAAAGATTTAGTGATAGAGATCCGCTTCTATATCTCACCTCAGTGATTTTGTACCGTTATACTAAAGCATGTGGCAGTCCCTTCTGATATAATCATCAAGAACCATATAACTTGGCGGTTTGTAAAATAATTATCGACTGCTGCGTCAAAGCAAAGATCAGGTGTCGCTGAGCAGCCGACATTATTTGGAAAATTTACAGCTCATTAAAAACACAGGGCAAGACTACGGATACTCGAACACACCAGCACGTGTGCTGTGACATTTTGCGGGGGGAAAGCATGCGTGGAATAAACCAGGAATGAAAAGACCTGCAGAAGATGGTGTCACGAGGACCCGTCAAGGAGGCAAAACACTAATTTAGCACGTTTGGACCCAACTTTCAAAGCTGTCGTTCTTTTTTTCCAGCAGCAACTAAACTCTGTCGAAACATTTCAATTTTGTTCTGCATAATTCCGTTCGTTTCAATTTTTCGAAGGCACTTTGAGGCAAACGTTGAAATTAAGAGCGACAAAAACAAAAGAATGCGGTCACCAAAAAGTTGTTAGCCCGCTACCGAACTGTGGCACCGGCAGTCAGGAAGCCGATCGTGGTTACCCAGAATGCCGGGCGGTTTCCAACAACCGTTTTACAAACACGGAGCTGATTGGCGCATTTGGTTGACTCGAGGACACGAGAGGGCTCGTTCGGTGAAACATCAGAATGTTGTTGTTATTTTTAAGTCAACGAAAAGACAGAACTTTGTGTGGTAATGAGGTAGTCGTGTTGTCTTCTCAGTAATCTAGAAACGAAACATTAACAAAAAGCACCTATATTCTGCCGTTTCGTGACCTAAGATTGGAGCACCATTCCAGTCTTTTTTTTTATGCAGCGGAATACAAAATAATGAATAAAAAAACGTTAGAAATTACACCGTTTCATCCTCAGTTGATTTGTTTGTCATTAAACCAACGGCAACAAAACACAAATGGAAACCGGAGACCTTGCACTAGAGGCTTCAAACTGACGACACTTGAGTCCGTGTAGGTTTCAGTCGAGAAACCGCAGCATAGATTGCGTTTTCCTTTTCACAGTTCGGTACTCTTCATACAAAAGTTCCCAGACTGCTCGCACTCGCAGAGTGTACGTGTTACTCAAGAATCACAAACCTGAGATCCTTTTCTTTCATGTTTTTAAAATGCGGATGTTTGTTTCACTTTTTTAAACTTTTCTGCTTTTTCATTTTTCTCTCGCTCTCCTTTTGGCGGAAACGTCCAAACATCCCTTTGCAAGATCCTGTTTCCAGGACGCTCTCGTTTGTGTTTTTTTTGCAACAACGTCAGCGTTCACGGCCGCGGCGTGGGTCACGGCTGCCCGGCCGGCGAGGTAGAAGAGGCGCGATGGGGCGAGTGGAAAGGGGCAGCGGGGTCTTCCACGTCTTTGTTTACGTCGTCCGGCTCCTCGGCCCCGTCGCACGGCGCCCCCCTGAGATGGGGCTGCTGCTGCGACGGCGCCGGCTCCTCGGGCGAGTCGGCCAGGCCCTTGTCCGACGACGCGGGCGACTTGACGGCCGGCTCGGCGTCCGTCGCTGGGCCGCCCTCATCCACCGCCGCGAAGGAGCCCGAGTCCGACTGATTGGTCTGACCCTGCGGCGAAAACGTACGCGCGTCAACAAAATCCTCCGTCTTGCGGAATGCAAAAACTAGCGGTCAAATGCAAAGCCTCGCTAGCCGGGCAGGGGACGGTCGCTCGGAGCACCCACCCCGTTGGAGAAGACCTCCCCGTCCGCAGAGGAGTCCAGGCTGAGGTCGGTGAGCGCCGTGCTGTTGGGACTCAAGAAGACGTCGCACGTCGCCGTTTCGTCTGCGAAGCTCGTGACGCAGGTGGCCGCATGGTTGGTGCTGCCGTTCCCCACCTGCGCGCCACCAGGCCAGGGGCACGGGGGGAAGCCGTTCAGCATCGCGCCGCAGCGCACCGCCACGTCATCGCTCTGGGAGCTTGCCGTGCGCGAGCTCGCCATGAGAGAGAACACCGGTCACGACGAGGCGGTGGCTGCCTGACAGCGCTGCTCTGCGACGCGTTACCGCCGGCCTTCGGGCAAATGGCGGGGATCGAAGGCAGAACATTCTTCCGGGAAGCGGAAGGAATTACTTTTTGAACGTATCTTGAACTTCTTTCGCACAGTACGTAGCCAATCGCGCTAATCATAGGTAGTTTTTGAACACGTGTGTTATTTAAACCGAGTAATCATTTCTTTTTCACTCTCATAACAAATAAAAACAAACTGCACATTGGCCAGGAGCGTCCACTCAAATAAGGATCGTGGAGCAGTTTTGTCCGTCCGAGCCTCATGATAAGAACCAAATAGTTGAAACACTGGAGCAAAATAATTACATCAGCTTGGCAACTAGGATATAAAATATGACACTCTTTTTACGAACTGATTAAAATAAGTCCGTATATATATTTTTTTATTGCCAGTGATTTTTCCAAGATGAATAAAACACAAACTGGCACAGCACTGTGTAATGTGTGAAATGTTACACAACAGCGTAAACATTTCCTTTCAACCCATGACAGGGTTAGGGAGGGGGGGTTGGAGGAACGAAAATCGAGTCAGCGATCATTCCTGTGTTGCAAGAAGGAATGATTAAATGAACAGGGTCCTGCCTTCGACGTACACGTTTGTTATTAGTCTCACAAAAACACGAGCTGATGCTGCATTATCTTGTTATTTGATTCATTACGTCACGGTCCAGATTGATGGGCCAAAGCGATGACGGAACTCCCATCCTTCTTGATTTCACCAGGCAAGGCAAATTAAAAGCTGCCGTGCACTAACAGCTCATCTAATTACCCCTAGCGGAGCTCGGCAGACACAAGCCGGCGGTGGTGGCCAGCTGGCGAGACCGCGGGTCAGCAGTTTCTCGGAGCGAGCACTTCCAATTTCCACGCCTCTCGTGTGATCCATCCATCAAACGCAAATTCTCACTTCGTCGCATCGTGCTGGCCCTCGTCGCGTCGCCGCCAAGCGAAGCTCGCCGGAGGAGAGCGAGCGAGCACGCGAGGCGGGCCGTCGCGCCCGGCCCTACCTTGTTGCGCGCGGACACGGCCGTGCCGTTGGGCACCAGCTGCTGGCGCTCGGGATCCCGGGCCGAGGGCGACGGCGAGTACGACGACGCCGTCGTGGCGGCGGCGGCGGCGACGTCGCGGCCCGGGCGCGTCGTGCCGTCCGGCCCCGCCGCCTCCTGGCAGCACATGAGCGTCTCCAGCTCGTGCGAGTCCAGGGGGCGGCCGTTCCTCATCTGGGGCCCGTTTCCCGACGCCGAGGCCGTCGAGTCGCCCGGCGCGCCAGGGAGACAGCAGTCGCCGGGACGGGAGGCGCGCCTGCTCGGAGGTTGCGGTGGGGGACAGGGAGGGAGCGGGACAGCCGGGGGCGTCACGAGGGGGCGACGGACGACGGCGGCGGCGGCGGCGGGCGGGGAGCGCCGAGCGTCGGAAGCGCGCCGGGCGGCGGGCGGTTGAGTGCGAACGAGGTGCGACGAGTACCCGTGTTTGGATCGGCACAGGAGGACGGCGACGCACAGGGAGACGCAGGCAAAGGCGATGCACACGCCGACCAGCATGCCCGTCAGGGAGTGCACGTTAAGGAGCAACGGCAGGCCTGCTGGGGGGTGGGGAGGGGTGGGCGTAAGGCGGGGATCAGAGGAGGCGGGGGGGGGCACAGTAAGAACGGGAGTGCAGATATAGAGGTGGGGGTTCAGGAGAGTTGGATGAGTTCCAGAGTACGCTGCTGCTGTTGCTGCTGCCGGATTTGTCTGTGCCCGGTGGTTCCGTCACGAATAACGACGCTTAGTGCAGTGTCCACCGCGAAGGTGATAACGGTTATCGCAACTGTAACAATAACAATAACACACGATGCGCGTACTTGTCTGTGGCTCGACGAGGGTGTTAACGGACAGCGCGGTGGAGAAGGGGCCTGCGCCCACCGGCGTCTTGGCTCCCACGCTGAAGAAGTAGAGGGTGCCGCTCTCCAGACCCACGATGTCGGCGCTCAGCGCGTCGCCTGGGGCAAGGAGTTGGCGCGATCGATGCGGGGGGAGTCAGAGAGACGTCGAAACGTTCCGCTCACGAAGCAAAGCATGCCATGCGAACAACTTTAGTCTTTGTTGTAATTGTGCATTGGAGGCGTGCAACGACGCATTGATTTATCGAGATTCTTGCTCTCAGGGTGCATGCATGGAATTGTGTGTGTGTGTGTGCGTGCATATGAATTGAGTATTAACAGTTTACGAGACAAAAAAAAAACCCCAACAGAATTGAGACGGCAATAACAATCTGAGAAATAATCTATCCTTGAATCGGACATCAACTCTGAACCGTGACACCTCATTCAAATTATTGGGGGGTAAAAAAAGGATTGAATCTGTGTGTGCTTTGAGCGTTTGTTACCCCCTAAAATACACGGTGGGTTTTCTCTGGGTTCTCTGGTTTCCTCGCACATCAAGCCACACAGTCTGTGTACAGAATTGGCCAAATATCCCATTGCAGCACGTTAAAAAAAAATTAAAAGATTTGAGAGCAATTGTTTATTATAATTCCAATTCTGAGAGCTGTGACGCAACTGAAACGACAGTGCCCAGCTCAGCCCGTGGTGGATCATTGTCATCGTGAGGGCCGGCGGCGGCGGCAGTTCTCACCGGCACGGCGGATGGCGGTCCACATCTCCCGCGGGAGTGATGCGTTGGAGCTGTAGATGAGGACGTACTCGGACACGGGGCCGTTGGGCTCCAGCGGGGGCCCCCAGGCCACGCGCACCGACCGCACGTCCACGGCGCTCAGTGTCACGTCCATAGGCGGCGTGCTGGGCCCTGCGTGGCACGGAACGGCAAAACGCACGGCATCGCTCTCCTTCCCTCCTCCCGCTCACGCCCTCTCCAAGACGGACATCCAACGCGTGCTTGCTTACTCCGAGTCGTTGCTGCGCTATGAACCCGGCAACCCGGGTTCGATTACGGCACACGGCCTGCACTGGTGACGATTATCTGAACCGGTTCTGAGCCTCCTCTAAGTTGACTCGGCCTCAAATGAGTACTTGGTGCAGAAGTGTAAAACATCACCGCTAGGGAGACAAAGGCGGCCTAGCGTGGTGTTGTCCACCCGTCCCTTCGTGTGCGGTGCCGGCCTTCACAGGTGCTGCTCGCCAATAGCACTTCCCCCACCAGTCTGTTTTGACTATAGGGGGGGGATCTTTGTGTTAATTGTTATTGTTGTTCGGAGGCGGGTGTGTGACACACATTGGTATTTTACTTACGCTCTTTGACCCAAAAATCGATCTTATCTTAACAAACCAAAATAATAAAAGGTACAAAAGAAAACAAGTGCGTGCTACTGCGTGGGAGTTTGCGGTTGTGCCGTACAGCTCTCCGATCTATCTTTGCGTTATGATGTCTGATGTTTCACTCCACGTGCTGGCAGCTTCTTCACGATTAAATGGAGCCTGGTGCCTCTTGCTACCGATTCCCAGTGTGGGCGAGACGCAGCCAGGAATTCTGCTGGTGACCGTGCCAATTGTAGATTCGCTGTAGGGTTTGTTTTTTCGTAGATATTTTATATGACAGCATCGTCAACCTCCTCTTGATTTTTTGCTGCTAGATGGCTGCTCTGCGCTGATGAGTGTGAGGTCACGTGACTATTCACATGATGACAGCGCAGCTGCTGGCAGTAGCGAATGAGGAATTGCCATTTGAACCAAATCTGCACCTTTAATAAGAGGCAACGGCACGATCCAACACCACAGCATGAAATTCGGACAGACAGTGTGAGAAAGAGAAAGCTCAGCACGATTTTCCCCTTTAATTATCTTGTCCAATTACCCTTTGGGCAGCTACAAAGATAACTGTTAATTAAAGCTGAAATTTTCAAAATGCTTATAAAAAATAATTCACAGCCCTTTTGTTATGCCACCGCTGCTGAAAGGCCTCACCACACAATGTCAGCCATTGGGTTGTTTGACCATACTTCACCACACTTGACAGTACAGTTTGGTAAAGGCTGAGAGGGGCGCAGGGGTGCAGAACCAGTTTGGAATTGAGGTGCCATTCATGTGATCCGTTAGCCATATATGGCGCAGCGTGCTAACAACTATGCCAACGCTCCGTCCGTTGCAATAGTATGAGGTGGGAGTATCCACATATTACCCCTGCCTGACGGGAGTGTCTTGCGGCGCACCCATTTATACTGCTGGGTGGACCGAGGCAGGAGGATTCAAGAAACATGCACCGTAGTTTCAACTGCCGTGCCGGATGATTGGACTGGCGTCCTCTGGGTGGCATGTCCAGTGTGCGAACCATGACAACTTTTGCAAGAATAAATAATAAACCGTTACAAAAAAACTTTCATTTCAACTCGGAGGTAGCAAGTCGGTTTTCTTGGCAGGGCGTCTGCGGTGTTCGCCCACGTGGGATTGTGACGCAGACGGATCCTCTGGCCGTCGGTGAGCCCGCACCGTTGAGACGTGCGATAATATCAGGGGGAACACTGAAACATTAGCGCAGCTACGCACACACGCCCATAAACTCGTGGCATTTCATGGGAGCCATTTCCCAGAGCTTGACACAAATTATTGCCTTCTCGCCGACGCGAAGGGGTCCATGGACAGGGGTGTAATTGGCGAAAGGCTCAGCATAAAAAGGCGGCATTACCGCATCCCGTATGATAAAAAAAACGCATTTAAAAAATGTGAATAATTTAAAGCTTTAACCTTTTACGAGGAAATGTCTTATGTTGCGGGGGCCCTGATTTTAATCAAGTCAAGTAACAACAAAACATAATGAATGTTTCCGATAAAGAGGCTGAGGTGTGAATATTTCTGGATTCTATTGCTTGTCTTCTAAACATTTTCCTATTATCCGGTCGATATATTCCTCCGTTAATACTTTTGTCATGCACGCATACAAGAGAGGGGGCTGGGGAGGGTGAGGAGAAGAGAGCGGGGATGGTTGAGAGGGAATAGGGACTTTGGCATGAAGGAGAGAGGGAAGGCGTCACGGAGAGAGGGAGGAACAGAGAGGGGACAGCAACTGAGGAATGAAGCAAAATGGGTGGAGGGGAAAGAAAAGGGGAACGGGGGAGACGAGGAATGGCGGAGGACGGGAGAGAGGGCAGAAAGGAGGGAGGGAGATAGCGTACGGTCGGGCGGCGTCGCCTCCTCCACGGTGTCCCCGAAGCGCCCGTTGGAGTTGCGGCCGTGCGACTGCACCGAGAACTGGTACCGCGTGAAGGGCTTGAGGCCCTGCACGAGCAGCCCTTCCTCTGCGCTGCTCACGGCGCACGCGGGAGAGAAAACGCGGCGCGTGAAACGCACGCCGCGCAGCAGCGACGCGTCAATACCGCGCGAGCGCACGCGTGCGCTGACTCACCACGGGATGTAGCTGAAGGCCGAGGCGTTGGTGGGGGCGGGCGAGGGGGCGTAGCGCACCGTGTAGCCCACGATCTCCACGTTGCTGAACGCCGGCTTGCGCCACCAGAGCCGCACGGCGCTCGAGCTGTTGCCCTGGGCGAGCAGGTGCGTGGGCGGCATCGGCGATGAGGGCAGCTCGGGCAGCTCGGGCAGCACGCCTTTCCGGAGGGTGACGCACGAGGAAGGGGCGGCGGGGAGGAGGGAGGCGGTAAGGAGGTGGCGCAGGAGGTAAGGGACGGTGACGTGTGGGAGGAGAGAGACGAGACTTGCGTCGGGGCCACGATGCTCCAACGGGGAGCTTGCCCGAAGCAAAAATAGTCGAGCGGATAAGCTTTGCTTTTGGTTGACAATGTTTATACCCCGTGAAATGTATGCATGTATGTATGCTGAACTTCTTTCTCACCGTACGCAGCCAACCTCCGAATCGAAGGTGCGGGAACCTCCGATTCGGAGGTGCGGGAATGAGTGGTGAAACCCGTGGCATTTCACCGGCATGCGAGTGCCCCAGCAGCATCAGTAGCAATGGCGGATACAAATTTACGCAATCATCGTTACACCGCACTGCTCGCAGAATAAAAGCCACATTAAATTCCTAAATAACTCAAACAAGAACGCCTGTGCATACTGTATTACGAGCGCCTGCGAAAAACCTACATGCCCCTTGACTGAAATACTCCACAAACAATAAAAATTCTCACGACGTTTTTGACTGAAACACAAGCAATCATCATCAGGTGTGAAAACCACAACAAGAAAATGTGAAAAAAAAAATGTACTCCACAAACACTTGACAAATTTGTCCGAAGATGTTTGTTCATCATGGGAACGGCGAGTGTGGCTTGCTGCATTGTAAATATCAACAGGTGGCCTATACCGTGCATTTGCTGTGCATGATAGACGTTTGTTGTCAAGCAGTTATTGTGTGGATTTTATGAAAGACAATGGTCCAATTTGATTGAGACCTCAAACCATGATCATGATCTTAACCGATTTGGGAAATCATCATCATCAATCACCATCATCGCCTCTCAATCCATATGTCCGTGGGGGTTAGTTGAATGTGCCTTTTGTCACACCTGTAGCGCGCATCAGTGGTCTGCACTTACGCAGTACCTTGGGTTCTCAAAAAAACGATTCAGGCGCAAGGCTATTTTTGCGTGTAAAGGACGATCGTTTCTACTTCCGAGGAGTGCCGTGCTCTCTCGGTAGCTGTTTAGTCAAGTCAAGGTCACCTGTCACCGCCACCAATGCTGTTCCTCCGATTGTACTCTTCCACTCACAATGGTAAATAACAAAAAAAAAGCAAATTAAGGCCACACTCAGATGTGATAACTGAATGCATTTAAGCACCAAGCGTCATTTGCCGATTCCCTAACCCGAATGCGCAGGAGCAACGCGCGCCCTCGCTGCGCCTGCAGGCACTGAGCTCGCGCCGCAGGAAATAAAGCAGTTAACACGTGTGGGGGTTGAATAGAGGAAAGCCGGGAATTGTCATTGTTCTGTTGTGGACGGCCACAGACAACAGGAGATGACGAGGGTTCGATGAGTAAAATCTCAAACACAAGATTCGCGCGATGTCATGCCACGCGTGAAGAGTGATTTTGCCACTCGTCGGTCATCCAATATGTTTGCATTTCGCGGTGAATAACCATCGTGACGACTGCTTGTGCCGCTTTATGCAAATGGGGCTTGGGGATGTGCCATTGTTCAGGCTTTAAGCCCAGAACCCTTTGGAAATGTTTAAACTCCCAGATATTGGGATCTATGTGGTTAAGCGGTTTGTGTGACGTGTGGTCCATCAACGTCATATATATCTATCAGCTTTTAGGACTGGGGTAGGCTTACAAAAGTGAAAATCTAAATATATTATGAACACCACAACCGGGGACCGGGCTAGGAGCATGAGACCCAGGATCACAGTGATGGTGGCTTAATGTCTCAGACACTGCCATTATGAGCCCTCGGAAAGGGAGAGACACTCAGCACCTGGGAGCATAACCCCAGGATCACTGTGGTACTGACTCAGCGTTCCCGGCACGCCCGTGTAATGAATCCCCGCGAGCCGCCCGTATCGCGCGATCACCGTCTCTCTACCGGGGTCGCTGGCAGGGGGGCGGTTGGGCGGGTCGGGCGTGCGGCCCCTCCATGTCACCACGTGGGCATTGTCGTGTTTGGCGTGTACCACGAGTCGCACCTCGTACAGCACGCCGGGCTCTGCGACGCGCACGCACGCAGCACACACACGCAGCACACACACGCAGCACACCACACACGCAGCACACACACGCAGCACACACACACGCAGCACACACACACGCAGCACACGCAGCACACACACACACGCAGCACACACACGCAGCACACACACGCGCAACACACACACGCAGCACACCACACACGCAGCACACACACGCGCAGCACACACACGCAGCACACGCAGCACACACACACACGCAGCACACACACGCAGCACACACACGCAGCACACACACGCAGCACACACACGCAGCACACACACGCAGCACACACATGCACAGCACACACACGCAGCACACACACGCAGCACACGCACGCAGCACACGCACGCAGCACACGCACGCAGCACACACACGCAGCACACACGCGCAGCACACACGCGCAGCACACACGCGCAGCACACACACGCAGCACACACACGCAGCACACACACGCAGCACACACACGCAGCACACACACGCAGCACACACACGCAGCACACACACACGCGCAGCACACACACGCAGCACACGCAGCACACACATGCGCAGCACACACACGCAGCACACACACGCAGCACACACACGCAGCACACGCAGCACACACACACACGCAGCACACACACGCAGCACACGCAGCACACACACACACGCAGCACACACACGCAGCACACACACGCAGCACACACACGCAGCACACACACGCAGCACACACACGCAGCACACACACGCAGCATACACACGCAGCACACACACGCAGCACACACACGCACAGCACACGCAGCACACACACACGCAGCACACACACACGCAGCACACACGCAGCACACACACGCAGCACACACACACGCGCAGCACACACACATAGCACACGGACAGCATGTAGAGCACATAGGCAACAAAGACAAAGATCCCCCGTGTAGCCTTAACAGACTGTAGGGGCAAGTGCTGTTAGCGAGCACCTATGAAGGCCGGTAAGGCACACGAGGGGGTGAGTGGCCATCACCACGCCCGACCGCCTTTGTCTCCCCAGTAGCGATGCTTACACATCGCACACCAGGTACTCATTTGCGGCTGAGTCGACCTAGGGGAGGCCCAGGACCGGTTCAGATAACCGTCACCGGTGTTTGCCGTGAGCGGGAATCGAACCCGGGTCGCCAGGTTTGTAGCGCAGCGCGCTAACCGCTACACCACCATTGCCCACTACACATACACGCACACACACACGCACACACACGCACGCACACGCGTGCCCAGCCACAGCACACCTGCGAGGAAGGGAAGCGTGGCAGCGTTTGAGAATCCACGCGGGCAGCGATCGTGACGCGGACAAATCCATGTCGCTCGGTAAAGAGCAAAGGCCGTGGCAATAATAATAGTAATGGGCTGTGATAATAATAGGCCGTGAAGCACTGTGGTAATTTTAAGGAAATCACTGCCTGTAGCCATCAGGGATAATGATTGTCGCACCGTTTCCTTTTGTAAAACATTTATTTGCCCAAATATGGTCAAATCGTATCACTGTTCCACACGAGTGGGCAACTGGGATGGCAACTTTGAAATACATTCCAGAGAGGGGTAACATGTCTACTCAAGGCCTGCACGCTCCATTCACCAAACCTTTTGTTAATTTCGTCGTGGAGATGGAACTCCGTCAATTCTGTGTCATCACCGCTGAACCAAGTTTGCCAAAGTTGCTCAAACGCTATTTGAAAGAGATTTTGATGGTGGTCTCGAATGTATCCTCCAGTCTCGACCGACCGAACCGACCAACGACCGTCTGTCTGCGATGATCCACTCACTCAGGCCCGAGATCGTGTAGTGAGTCGCTCTCCTGCGCAGCGAGATGGGGCCAATGAGCCAGTCCGTGCCATCAATCGGCGGCTCATCGCCTGGGTCCTCCAGCTCATCCGCCAGCTCCTGGGCGGCTGGCGCTTGCCGGCAGTACAGCTGGTACCCGCGGATTTGGAAGTGGTTGGCGGGCAAATGCCAGGAGATTTGCAGAGCCGTCCTGTTGGACTCCACGGTGAGCTGCAGGACGGGTGGTTGTGCTGCGAATGGTAAACGCATTGAACGAACACGTTCTCAAAATGCTCGTGTGCGCACTGAGTGTATGTAATCTCACAAATGTGATTGTGCTGGGATCTCTCTCTCTCTCTCCCCCCCTCCACTCCGTGTTCGAATTAGAAACCAAAGGTAAATGAGTAAAGGTGCAGCCCTGCAATTGCTCACAAAACTGTTGGCAGAAGAGAGAGACAGCTCTAGAGGGCCCCTCCAGGGGTGGGGGGGGGGGGTTGACCTACTCTTTCATGCACATGCTGGAAGAGGTGGGAGTATCAACACTTTAACACACCACACGCAAACTACCCACCGACTAAATGTTGGGAACTAAATGGATTAAAAATAATAGAGATAGCAAGCAAAGCCGTGACCATTGCTGGTCTCTCATAATTGAAGGTGAAGGGGATCATTACAGTGAACGCCGCTGAAGCCACCTCACCTTAGCTTGTTTACCAATGCCCGCCAAGGTCCGCTTAAATTATTCCATCATCTGGCTTCAGGTCGTGTACAAAATACTTTTCTTTTCGATGTAAAGAAATGGGTGAAAGATATGTATTGTCTGCGCATCGTGTGTCTTACTAATATTCTCCACAAACATGCCAACCAATGTTTTGTGTACCGTGTGAAATATTTCGGCGTCGAACCACGACTTGCCTGTAGCCTCTGGTAGTTCACCAGCATCAATTCAAGCAAGCCTGTCAAAACCGGTCCAGCGTTTGATTGTATTTGCATAAATGTCGCTGCAGTTAAGCAGTCCCAGAAGGCCGTGGGCCGATGGGTTGTGTAAAACACAAAATGTAGTTTGTCTACGCGAAGGGACAGATTTATGAAGGAGGCATTGTCTGCCCAAGTAAGGGTGGCCAATGTTGCTCCAACAGTTCCAAACACACGCCGACCCAACGTGGCACGCTTACTGCGCGCTTAACCTACTCGCCCCTTGTAGGTCTTATCGAGAAGTCCAAATCGTGGCTGCAAACGGTTGCCTCGCGGCAGCGCGTTGACGCCCGGGATTGCGCTCGCGTGTGCCCGGCCGCGTCGCCGTGATGACCCACGGCGGCGGCGCCTCGCTCACCGGTGCGGTTGCTGTGCGGCGTGGTGCGGTGCAGCGTCCACGGCGACGGCTCGCCGGAACCCGAGCCGGTGGCGGCCGAGATGCGCACGCGGTAGGCGCGGCTCGGCTGCAGGCCGCTCAGCGTCACCTGGGTCTCCCCGCCCGGCACCTCTACCGCATGCACCGTGTCTGTCGGCAAACACCCCGCGGGGCACGTCACTTTCGGGTAGCACCACCCAATCAACCCCCCCGTCCCCGTCCCCGTCCCCGACCCACCAGCGCCTCACTGCTCGCGTGCTGCCCTCGTTAGGTTCGAGGAACTGTAACGATTCGTAGATATTTATCTCGTATGTAAAGTAAGTCCTCGATTAAGCGTCCCGTTGAGTGAAGAACGCGCTAAGCGAGAAACAATTTTCGCCTATAAATGATGTAACGATAACGTTTGTCTAGATACGGTGCACTACGCAGACAGAGTGAGACGGCCGGACAAATAACCGAGGTTACGCCGCAGCGTCACTTTATTGTTCCTCCTCCTCGTGAATCGTACCGCTCACCCGCGCAGCTCCGGAAAGTTGTTCGCCGTTGACCGCTCAGAAACTGCATTGTAACGGTGCGCGTTCCGCGTTGTGCGGAAAGTGTTCCCTTCATGAAGAACCACGTAACAGCAAAAACGCGTTGTGTGAACAACGCGTTAAGCGAGGACACTTGCCGTACTAAGAAAAGTAACAATCAAAATAAGTCAACGATTAAAATCAATTACGTCTCCTACTGTGTACCAAGAGTGGGTTAGGAAGCGCAATGATTCCTCGACCGATGAAACTATATTATTATGTTACTCGTGATACGTGCATGTGTTGTGTGCATCGGATCGTGCCTGTAAGCAGGATGCATCTACAATTTCCGCAAATTGTATGCAAATGATACGCGAGCGTTCGGGCTGATGGAGCGAACGGTTAACGACAAAAGACACGCATTGCAAACGAGGCGTGAAAACGAGATGAAAATTATTGACCGTTGAATCGTATTTCAACTCAGGCACCGACCATCCTGGTTTCCATTGTCACGGGGAAGATGGATATCATACGGCTCTTGCGTTGGGATAGATAGCAATTAAACGATAATTTAATGAAGCGTTAAACCGGCTTGCGGTGTTTACCCGGTTTTTGCACCAACCCGCTAAACTTGCCAACATTGGGTCAACATTGGGCCAACATTGGGCCAACATTGGGCCAACATTGGGCCAACATTGGGCCAACACTGGGCCAACATTGGGCCAACATTGGGCCAACATTGGGCTAATGATGTCGTTGGAAACCGTTAGACCAGCGTTGGCCCAGCACGCGGTTCAGCGTGAGAATCTACGCGTGCCATCATGTAGCGCTGGCGAGTTGTGTACAGGCTGCGCATGCGTGCGTGGGTGCGTCCGTGGGTGCGTGCCTGGGTGGGTGAGTGCATGGGTATACGCGGATGCTGCACGCACGTAACAGCCGATCCGCGTGGAAAAAAAACAGTAGCGCGGGCTGCACGCTCTCCGCGGCGGATTAGCTTCTACGACAGCCAAATCGAGTTACCAAACCGCAGAGTTGGCAGAAATCCAGGCACGCTCGTTAAGGCGGTGGTGAGGAGTTGGACCGAGCGAGCGAGCGGCAGCCACCCTCGCGCAGGGGCTACGAAACCGTGAGCCATCGGACGTTGAGCTGCGCACATATTGCTTTTCGAGCTGGGACGTCCGATCATTTAAGCGACTGATCCTCTTCCCCGTTATCGGTTTAATTACGCGACCTATCAGGAGAACTCGAAAGTCTTTGGGAGTCTCACCTTCGTTCCCACGTGCGCCACAGTTGGTTACGTTACCGGCACGACGGGGCATGGCCTGTTTGGGGTGCCCTGCCTTTAAGAGGATGGATGTGGTGGCAGTCGCCACCAAAGTTGAAGGGGCCCGGACAATCGACCAACGAAATATTGTCGATCGCAACGTTCACACGGTAAACCGTCGTAACGGGCTAAACGTTTGGGCCCTACGTCGCACGCGCGTGCGAGCGTGCTTGCGTGTGTACGGGCGTGCGGCGCCTCACCCTCCCGCTGCGCCGAGTACTCGACCCGGTAGCCCAGCACGCGGCCGCGGCTCTCCGCCCTCTCCAGGGGGAGCCAGGTGACGCGGATGTCTGTGCCGCCGGCGCTCGACAGGGAGAGCTGCGGCGCCGCCGACGGGACTGTCACGCCGTCACAAAGCGAGAGAACAAAAACGGCGATTAAGAAGAACCACGTGACACCACTGCATAGGGTTTGACGGTTGTGCAGTGGAGCTCCCTCCGATGTGTTTTTTCGAGTTGTGCTAAATTGTCGTTTGGATTGACGTCCGCCGTTCCGCTCCCAAGCGCCGAACAACACGTGGCACATTGCGCTAAACGACATGCGGCGCGACCCGAAAACACTCAGGAGAAACTGCACCGATGTCTCACCTATGAAGCTATGAGCGCTCCAGCGGCAGTGTACACGTGCGGACAGAAAGTGCCGTGCCACTGCGTATCGGATACAAACGTAAAGGCCCTTCATATTGCTTTGGGGGAAAATGCATTTAGGATGCAGCGAATGAGTTTGAAGTCAGCACCCCCTTCCCTCCACCAACCCGCTCCCTATTCCCCGGGGGCTGTAGCCAATCAGGAGGTATGGAGACGATGTTCATTAACGAGGGTAGCGCCGAGGTGCTCTCGACCTGCGGTAGGACAACAACGCCTACAACAAGTGAACTTTTTACGATCGTGGTACAAAATGGAAACCCCGACGTGTCTTTTTCCATCGCCTTAAGGGGCAGGGAAATGCCGGGCTTGCAGAGTAATCGATCGATGTGTTTAATCAATCACCTGTTTCAGCACCGCCCGGTCAAACGCTTTAGCGCCGCTGAGCGGCCGTGATTGATAACCGGGCTTGGTATTTAAGAGCGCTGATTAATTAATTGCCGCAGCTTTCAAAAGAATTGCTGAGCCCATGCTATTCACTGTTAAAAGCTAACGTAATGATATACAACGATAAATAATGACCCTGGTTTTTAATACGGGGGTTTTTTTTTTTGCCCCCTCCCCCGCCCACCACCACCGAGCAAAAAATATAAAATAAAACTATCGGCGGACATTTCCCGTGAAAAATTGCGTTCTCCGAGAAAAGTCTTTTATTGATTTGACAAATGGTCAACGATTAGCAGGGAAAGGGCAGTGAGTGCTGGCGTGTGCGAGTCGGCGGAGTATTTACAAGCGGCTTGTTTAGCAGCGCGAAAGGGTTAAGAGGAGAGAAATAAAGAGACGTCTGTCATTTAGTCGCCTTTGGTCGGCGCGGCCTTGTCTCGGGGAGTCAGGCGGAAAGCTAAAGAACGCTGTGATCGCTATCGCGGCAGGCGAGTGGCACATCGATCGCGACGCAGCGAGCAGCGCTCACTCGACGTTCAAGCGGTGGGGGGGGGGAGGGATTGAGAGAGGGGAGGCGATGCATGGCCTCTCTCTCTCTACCGTGTAGGTTTTCACGGTCGCGCCGGAAAGCGCTCCGTTGTCGTTTATGTGCACCCAGTCGTGACCAGGTTTGTGCCGTACCCTCGAGAGCGTGGTTCAATCACTTTAAATATAAATTCGTTTATTTAGGCGGAAATGCTTTTTGTCCATTGGAGGGTTTTGGTCTGTTGCTCAATTGCGATTAGGTAAATATTCAGATGCCTATTTAAAAACTGGTCATCAGAAAGCATGTTTGAAATGTAATTCTCACCAGGTCCCGTGGTGTTAAGTGCCGTCTCCAACCCTTATTAACTCTCTGTCCTCTCTATTCCTGTGCTACGAAGAAGGGCCTTTGCCAGAACGTCAACTATTAGCAATGATTTCTTTATATTAATGCAGTGTTACTGACGATTGTCAATAACACTGCCTGCTTAATCACGGGTGGCTGAAACCCGGAGTCGAACCCAAGTGCTCACCGGTGCTGGCTCAGTGTCACTGTCGCGGTGTTGCTCGCCTGACCTGGCTGGCTACCTCACCCCTGGCGACCGCTCACAAAGGGCACGACGAGAGAGCACGCGCGAGGTCGTGCGCGAGCCCACAAAGCTGAGTCAACGCGACGCAGACACAAAAACCTAAATCAATTTGCGGCCAAAGCGAAGCGTGCCCTGGGTTCCGGACGAGGCGTGACGAGAGGCTGCAAAAACACAAGGACGTCATCTTCTCGGCAGCCCCAAATAGCGAGGAAGCGCGCGCATCGCCTCGCGCGATAAGGGATTCGCTCCGGAGCGAGCGATGTCGATGAATGCGTTCGCGGAGAGGTGCGTCTGAGATAGCGTCGCTCACGCTGCCTCTAAAGTTACGACAACACAGCCCTGTGTGTGCGTGTAATCGTGTGATCGCGTGTGGGTGCGTGTGTGCGTGGGGTGCGGTAGTGTAGTGGTTGGCGCGCTTCGCTCACGGCCAACACCAGTGACAGTTATTTAAACCGGTCCTGGGCCTCCCCTAGGTCGACTCAGCCTCAAATGAGTACCTGGTGTGGTGTGTAAACATCGTCACTGGGGATAGAAAGGCGGCCGGGCCATGTCGGCCTTCAAAGGTGTTCACTAACAGCACTGACCCCAAGTCTGTTCAGGCTGTACGTGGGAATGTGTGTATGTGCGTGTGACTATGTGAACGTCTCATCGTGTGAATGCGAGCGTGCGAATGCGAGCGTGCGTATGTGTGAATGGCACCTGGGTCTGCCCCGTGACCTCCTGCCAGCGGGCGTTCGACACTTCACGTGGCCTCAGGGTGCACATAGCCTGGCACAAGCGTCGTGGTGACGTCACCGCCACTTAGTGGCGAATGGCGGTTGTTGTTGTTGTTGTTGCATCCATACTACAATAGAGATACGTTGTACACATCCACACCACACACCCTACAGAGCAACACGGTACATACGTCTACACCACACGGGAGCTACGCTGGAGGGGATCCACGCTGCACGGTCCCACACCGCACCTCTCCGCACCGTCGCGTCCCGCGATCGGCCCCCGACTCACCGTCCTCGGGCGTGCTCACGGTGAGCAGCTGCGAGGTCTGGCTGGCGCCTCGCTGGCTGTAGGCCACCATGTAGATGGTGTAGTTGGTGTCGGGCTCCAAGTCCTTCAGCAGGAATTCGGCCGTGTCGTTGTTCACCGCGAACTGGTACTCCTCGTTGTTTATGCCTACGACGAGCGGGCGGGCGGGGCGGGGGGGGCGGAAATTGACCGCGTCCAAGCCATCGTCAGCATTATCATCATCGTCGTCATCCACGCCATCGTCATTCAATGTTCGCTGCCGTTATTACAGTTGTCAACCTCTGAAGGTGTCCCGCTAATACACGATGATCTGAATAAGCATACTCTACCTCGTGCGTGCTTTACATCTCCCCAATGAGCAAGCATCAAGAGAGGCGATAAACGACGCACGTACAGAATCTTAGACCCGAATCAATTGTACGGCGTAGGTTTTATTTTTTTCGCGACGCTGCCGCACAGCTCTGGTATATGTGTGTGTTCAGGATCGACCGTGTGCCGTTCACTTTATTTATTGAGGAAGCTCCCAACAAGTGGGTTTAAATGTCAGACAATGATGCCGAATAACACGCGGTATAACCGAAGACGACATCGGAGAGCTGACCAGAATGAATGTCATCATCCTGATGTTCTTCACTGTCAATCGCTGCTGTGGTGGCAGTGGTGATAATGTATTTTCCTAAACCCGCATGGTATGGATATTGTGCGATGGCTTTCAGTGAAAGAAGACAGAAACTTTTAATTACTGACCCTGACGTTTAATGATGTGATGTGTGAACTTGCACCGACTTATCCCATGGAACTCCAAGTACAAACCCTCTCGGGCACTTACAATCAGTGGGCTCCCATCTCCTTGTGTCCCACCAACCCATCCCGACTGACAGACGCTTTGTCAAACGAGCTCCAACATTACCGCACCATCTTCCCTTTCAACTTCAGTCGTGTCCTTCGTGGGTTTTTAAGCCACACCCAGAAAACACGGTTCGTTTGCAAGGAACTATCACAATGGGCGTAATTATGAGAAGCGAATGAGTGGCAAACCAATCTTGATTTGAAACTCTCGTGACTGCAGGAATCCATACTCTTTGGTTCTTTCGGTAACTTTACCGAAATAACCAAAGAGAGTAGTAAACCGTTGAATGCTGCCAGATTCACATTTGAGTGTGGCATGAGGGCATGCGATGTGTTGTCTGATTGTATGGCTTATGAGAAGTGGATGTGTGGTAAACGATGTGCTAAACGGAATGCTGGCTGATTGACGTTTGAGTGCGGTATGATTATGATGATGTGACGTATAGATTTATTGTCAGGCCCCTTGGAGTCTCGCTCATTGATGACAAATCCATTGTCATTACTACCATTCAAATACCTTGGCTGCATTGGGTTTCTATTGAAACCAACAAATGCTATTCGATAGACTCACTCACTGACGCGCCATGCAAACAACATACGCTTCCATCGGGCCGCCACTTTACCAATTAAAGGAGAGAAATCAAATGTGTGATTACGCGTTTCCTTTTTTTCTCACCCTAAAACAAAGTGTGTGTGTGTGGTTTTTTTTTCTTCTTCTGTGGGAACAGAAGCAGCCACATTTCCTGGTCGTGACAGGGAATGAACGCGGGGGGAGTGGGGAGCTGCACTGGTGCATTCAACACCCAATCGAATTCACATGCTAATCCACCATAAAGCACCATCTGTCCCTTCTTAGCAATCGTCGACGCAACACACACACACACACACCAATTTCAGTGTCCATATTTCTCTCTCTCTCTCTCTCCGTAATGATGTCAGGGCTTGGCTCGCGCAGCGTGATGTTTGCTTTAAACCCTCGGCGCTAAAAACAAAATAAAAGGCCTCTGGAATTTTTTGGGGAGGTTTTTTTTTGTTCCTGCAGGGAGTGACGCTGTGAGCGCTAAGGCAGATGCTGCTGCCGCCGCCGCCGCTGCTGCGTATTATTTACGGGGACTTTTTTTTGCACGCCTTACGCTGCCAGGTCGGCTTTCTCCCGACATTGCTCATCGTAGATTCGCGTGAGGTGTTGATCTCGCCGCTCTCTTCTCACCATCGTCCCGATGGCTGCGTTGTGACTACAGGAAATCGTGTCCTGTAAAATCCTCCAAACAGTGCTCCCACTCTGGTTCGGAAAATGTACCAACGTGCTCGTTGGTCTTGCCCAGATGTTCATCGTGTGTATATATATAACCGTTATTCAATACTTTTACTCGCATGTGTTCTGCATCAATTATTCCTAACGCTAAAGATCGTCTCTCCAGTGCATAGCATTTTCGCGGTTGTGCTATGCAGCTCCGATGCGTCTTCGGCTTGTACCGCGTGATTTTTGGCATGATGTCCGACGTTTCGCTCCGCGTGGAGGCAGCTCTGTCAGGAACTGTCCAGGAACATCGGACAACCAGGATATTTGTCTGCTATGCCTTCTACCTCCAGTACCAGCTTAATGGAAACACAGTGACTGTTTTTTTCAGATGTGCTGCATTCAGTTAGACTTACCACACTCCGATGAAGGAAGGCAGTAGACAAAACAACGTTTCGTGTTTGGCTTCCAAAATTGCATGAAATGGCAGCTCTAGAACACCTGGTTGCTGCTATCCGTGGGGAAATGAGCAAATACAGCACCTGGGTCCCTTTCTAGAAGCCAATCACTATCCACGAAATTAATAGAATAGACGTTTTTTCTTAACCCCCTCCCTCTGGCGTTGGCACCATTCCCTGGGCAGGAGCACTGGGTATGCCCCTGGCTGAACACGTCGTTTTCAAGCAGGAAAGGCACAAATTATATCACAGTCCAGCGGAGAAAATAATTCCGTGTTATTCCTCTCCCGTTGATGTCCGCTGTTGCGTTTTTCGGCGTGCGTTTGTGTACCTGTCCGTCTTCGCACCAGGGGTGGAGATAACAGCCACCGAGCCGCCGTTAATTTGTGCTTTCTCCGCAGGCCGCATTTGATCGATAAAACGAATGCGAGAGGATATCCTCCACGCAGTCCTAAGACTCACGTAGATTCGCGCTGGCTTGTGCAAAAATAAATTGCGTGTTTAAACGATTGTGGTTTTTAAAAACTACCAGTTCTAACGCCCCCCACCCCCCCCCCCCCCAACGCTGTCCCCCCCCACCCCAGCGCACCCCCTGCCATGGTTTTAGATTTTTGGCGATTACCAATTTCTTCCATTCATATGCGAATCAAGGCGCCACACACACTGATTATTTGGTGATGCTGCATTGACAGTGGTGAACAAGCACGATTAACACAAAAACAACACATTCGTCAATAGCACGAGCTTCAAAGAAAATGTTTACAATTAAGCTCTCTGCCCGAAACATCACCTATATTTTTCTTCCCTTTTAAACGCAGCGTTGTTGATGAATGTGTTGCGTTGTTTTCAACATAAGCTTGCGTGGACCTGACAGTTGTAATCGCGGAAAGCTGCACTGCGGGGGGTGGCCGGGAAACGCTGATGCAACCCACGAAGGGTACATCCCAGGGACTGAGCAGCCCGGACCTCGTTCAGCCGAGGGTTCCACGGAGCCCATGATTAATGTATTCCTGGGATGTGCAGCCCACGGAAGTTGTTGCAGAGGACTCGTGCGTATTCCAAGGGGCACACAGCCGCTAGCTCATGTAGCCCAGTGCATTAAAACACAAACATAGCGGGACTGCAGACTACGTCGCTCCGTACAGAGACACTATAGCCGAGGAGGAGTTGACTGTCATCTGAGCCAGGGACTCTAACCATTGTGTGTGTGTATGTTAGACGCTGCCCCATGTTCTATCCCCACAGCTGGAGTGCCTCCACTCCCACACTACCAAACTCTGGACCGGATTCAACATAAAGTGTCTCATCAGCAGAGTCAGGCTTGCTCGAATCAATGCCGGTGAACCTGCTAGATTATACAATACACAACTCGCATGGCAAATTACACGACGCGCAACTCGCGAATATTTTCTTGGCGAACACAGGCGGGGCCGATCGCCGTCACTCACCGACGGCCTTCTGGTAGTGGATGGAGAATCCGATGATCTCTCCGCTGTACTGTTCGGGCCTCTCCCAGCCGATGACGAGCGCCACGCTGGACTGCACCGTAGCACGCAGGTTGCGCGGCGGGCCCGGCAGGCCCTCGCGGATCGTGACGGTGAGGCGGGCCGAGGCGCATGCCGAACCCACCCCGTTCTCGGCCACGCACTGGTACGGCCCGGCGTCCTCGACGGCCAGCTGGTTGATGACGAGGTTGTGGTTGTTCTGGATGCGCACACGCCCGTTGGAGAGGATGCGCCGCCCGTTCTTGAGCCAGCGGATGACGGGCGGCGGCTCGCCCTCCACCTTGCAGATGAAGCGCGCGGTGCCGGCGCGAGCCTTGCTCAGCGTCTCGGGGGGCTGCGTGATCGCGGGGGGCACTGGGGAGAGAGGGGTCGAGGTGGCGCGCGGACCACAGAGACGTCAATCGGTCAATGCGGACGTTTGTGAAATACGCACAGTCCCGTTTGAGCCGGCTCGTCGCCTACGGTATGTTCGCGAGGGAGATCCGTGGCACGGAACAACAACAATAACGACAACAACAATAACACTGTCAGAGTGATTACGTAGGGAGGAAGAGGCAACAACAGAACGGGAATAAAGGAATCACAGTATATATTTTTTTGTTAACCCGAGACTGGCAGTCGGCACGTCCTTTGGATGTGACCGTCCCTCCCTCCGGCCAGCCAGCAAAACTTTGTGTTCTATAATAGAGCGAAAGTACTCATCGTTGATGAACGACGGTCCTCCCGCACCCCCGCAACGTCCCCACTTCCGCACCCCTGGGTGCCCACCCCCCCCCCCTTGCGCATGCCAACCTCGAAGGGCCCCCCCCAACCTGCAAATACCCCCAACGCACCTCCCCCGTGCTTGCCCTCGGTAAGCCCCCCCCCCCACCTGAGTGCTGGCAACCCGTGCACAGCCCCTCCCCTCTGGCTGACGCAATGGCCTCCAGCCAATCAGAATGCGTGGCTAGCCAGCCTGCAAGGCAGCCAGCCAGCCACTAATGCTTTTTTTGCAATGTAATGTGATAAAAGTGCAAGTGATCTGCTGCCGATTCGTGACGGAGAGATGAGTATACCGTGAAGGAAGTTTATCTGTGGCTAACATAACGTAGCTACGTTGCATTATACCTGCAATGTATGAAATGATTGTAAATCGAGCAATTTATACATCCAAATTAAACACAGCTTATATATGTAGAAACAATAAAGATGCAAATTATGAAACCAACCGTGTGTGCAATCAGTCGTTTGATCTTTGGTGATGGACTTTCATTTGGTTTAAGTTGCATTTTTCTCCGTAAATATAAGATCAAGCACTCACCAAACTGCGAATGCGGTGAGTACAATCCATCAGACACTGCCTCATTTATTTTTTAAAGATAGATATACTCCTTCTTCTTTGGTTCTTTCGGTAAAGTCACGTAGAATGAGAATAAAATAATAAATTAATAAAATAAAAGAATTCTAGATTTAAATAAAAGAACACAATAACATTCTCACGACGTTTCGGCCACAACACAACAAGTGTTATTTTATTAATTTATTATTTCATTCTCATTCTACGCGACTTTACCGAAAGAACCAAAGAAGATGAATCCTTGCGGTCACGAAAGCTTTAAATCGAAATAAAGAGACACTGCCTATAAACATTTATTCCAAGAGTCAAGTCAACCGCCAGAGGGAGCTCACACAAACAGCACCACCGCCGCGAAGACACGAGTTTGAGAACACGACACAGACGGAGGAGGAGAGACGACAGATCGGAACGCATTCAACCGTCTGCGAATTGCACTGCCAAAATGTCCCCTCCTTTGTCCACGTCTCCTCTGGACAAGCGCCATTCTAGTTGATGTGCCCGAGGTAGCGCCCGACAGTTGGTGTTGTGGCGGTTTTGGTTATGGGCCGTCCATAAATGACGTTACGCGATTTTGGGGCGATTTTTTGACCCCCCCGCCCCCCATCGTCACACGGCGTCACAAAAAGTCAGAACCCCCCCCACTCAAATATGACGTCACAAAGCTGTGCCCTCCCCTCCAATAAAAATGAAACATGCTTCAAATCGCTTTAAACTATTGTCGTTGTAGTGCGTATTTAATGTGGCGCTGCACTCTGGTGTTGTAGGAGAAAACATTTATTATAAAGTCTATTTAATTAAGTAGAACGTGTTGTCTATAGTTATTTAAAGTTGCGCATTTTGATGTGACGTCACATTTCTCAAACCCCCCGCCCTCCCTCGTCACACATCGTCACAAATGTCTGACCCCCCCCCCCCTAGGTGCATGACGTCATTTATGGACGGCCCCTTATCGTTCAAGGTTGTTGCTGCCCTGTCTACATCTGCGCAACAACAACAACCAGGAGAGGAACGTAATTCCAGCCACTGCGATTTTTATGGCAAAAGCAGCCTCTCTATTTAACTAGTCTTACTCTAGAAACAAACAAATAGCAAGTAGGGTTTGAAATGCCCTCCGTTACATCGTGGGCCAGTGGGATCAAATAACGGAGACATTCACGTTGCATTGATTTAAAAAGATTTCACTCGAAATGTTATCGTCTTCTGTCAATGCATGACCTCAAATCTCAGTAGCACGCAAAACAGGGTTCGTTCAATTCAACGTTGTGTTGTTCATCATCATCATCAGCAGCAGCAGCAGCCATGATCAATCCACTGCTGAATGAATGCCTCCCTCAAGATGTCACTATAATGTAATATGTTCTGTTTGTGAGTATTTAATCATAATAATATAAGAACATCAATAACGCTCTTTTTTTTCTGACCTTACTGAGTCTCGGGACTTTTTTCCCAAGAGGGTCCTGCATTGGGATGTTTGGTCAGTTGAACTCAAGAGCGCTGCGTACATAGCACACTGCTCTGACAACTCCGACCACAGCTTCCCATACCATGTACTCCACTCACTCCCCAAAGACTCACACACACACATTTATAAAGACAAAGATGCCCCGTATAGTCTGCACAGACTGTTGGAGCAAGTGCTGTTAGCGAGCCCCCATTCATTTCAAGAGCCGAATGGCTCACAGGGCTATACTAAATAATTGAAATTCAGGTCGGCACATTGCAAAATGGGGTTGTGTGGCCAGCATCAAGCTCAGCCACCTTTATCTCCCCAGTGCTGAGGTGTACACACTGCACCGGGTACTCATTTCATGCCGAGTTGACCCAGGGGATGCCCAGGACCAATTCAGTTTGTAAGTAAAACTCAGTTTTATGTAGCACCATTCACATAAGGCCTCACAGCACTCAACGACACAATCCCAGTAAAGCCCCTCAACATTAAAACTAAAGAGTAAAACAAACCTAAACAGACGGATATGCAAGATAAAATAAATGTGTTTTCAGATGAGCCTTCAAAAAACTCGACTGACGGAGCGTCCCTGATGGACTGGAAATAGACATTCGACAAAGGAGGCGCTTGACCACTGAAAGCTCTATCGCCCATTGAATGCAGATTTTTCCTTGGTACACTTCGGGTGTTATAACCCCTAACGTTAGCAGTACGCCAACCACTATACTGCGACTCACCACACTCATTGCTCTTGGCTGGCGGATGCGATGGGTGAAATGCGGTGGTGCGATGTTTGTGGTGAGGTGTTTAGCAGTGTTGCGGTGCGTGGTGCGAATTGGAGTTAACCGTGCTCAGCAGCGGTTCGGCGTGGCACAGTGCGTAGCAACAGTGCAGCGTTGGCGTGGTGCGCATCAGTGGTGTGGTCTACGTGTGTGTGTGTATGTCAGTCAACCCATGGCACCTGGGTCTGTCCCGTGACCTCTTTGCCAGCGGGCGTTCGATACTTCACGTGGCCTTAAAGTGCACGTAGCCTCGCACAAAGACCGTGGTGACGTCACCACCGTGAAGTGGCGAATGGCGGTCGTTTTTGTCGTGTTCGTTGAACTTCTTTCGCACCGCACGTGGCCAACCGTGCCAATCGGAGGGCGCGCGCAAGGCCGTGGGCGGCTTGCCAGTGTGCTGCGGTGCGGTCCGGGTGCCCGGTGGCAAAGCGCTCGGCCCTACCCAGCACGGCAAGCTGCGCCGTGGCGGTGGTGAACTGCCGCGAGCCGAGCTTGTTGACGCGGCAGACGTAGGCCCCGGCGTGGACCGCGCGCACGCGGACAAACAGCAGGTTGAAGCGACCGAGCACCGCCGCGTCTGGGCTGATGGGCATCCCGTCTGCCAAGGTGGTGGGGGGGGGAGGAGACGTGGGAGAGAGACGAGAACGCGTTCACTAAGCGGGACTTTTCTGAGTGCCGAAGGCAGCTGCTGTCGTCCGAATCGGCGCGTCTTGCGAAGCTACTCGGGAGTGACAAGAAGGACAAGATCAGGAACGATAAATACTGTAGGGGAAAAAAATGTTGGTACTAAAAATGTTTTTTTCTGGTTTGAAAGCATTGTAGGAATTTTATTAAAGAAAAAATCCTCGAATAATATGGACGTGACAGACTTTCAGCATGAGCGTTGGCCACTATGATGAAGGGAATGTGAGGACAGGGCAAGCCGAGGAAAAGGTGGATCAATGGAGGACATGTAAGGCCGAAATAATTGGTGAGCCATTGCTCACGTGACATGGACCCAGCTGCCTCCAAAGGCTGGGAAGGGATGATGATGATGATGAAGTAGCGAAAGCCTGAAATCGCAACGCAAGAAAAAAAATATAATTCCACACCGAACCAAACATCAACAACAAGCAATGGAGGTCAAATCACAAAAATGCCTGCGCAACGCGTGGGTGCGTGGGGGAATGATGATTGCTTATCGAAGGTTGGTAAGCATGGAAAGCTGGTACGACGATGTCATTATCGCCCTTAAGGGATAAAAAAAAACGACAACAAATGACTGCCTGCGCAGCAAACTGGATTTCTGCACGCTTGGCGGGGTGCATGCACGTCCTCTGGTACCGCGTCCCGTTGAGTGGACGCAGCTGGAAGCTGTTGCTGCAGAAATGGCAGCTTTCCGAGTGGCGGTGGCGTATTTATCTTTGTACAAAGCAACGTTGCACCGGGGCCACAGGCCGCCGAATGTGTTTTTTTTTCTTCCCCACGTTAAAATAGCTTCAAACGACCCGGACAACATGTCGAACAACACGTGGGAACCAGCAGAACACACATCGGAGAGATACACGACACAACCGCAAAATCCTACACTGTAGCAATCACTTTGCTGTTATATTCATTTTTACTCGGGGCTTCCTTGTACAAGAGACTTCCGGTCTCAATGAGCTACTACCTGACATTAAATCAAATTGCATTGTACTGTTTACATTTTTACTTATCATGCACAAGCAGGCCAGCAAATCCCAGTTCATTACACATTTTTTGGAAATGCAAAGAAGTTTACAGGGAATTGATGGGAAATTTGGAGAGAAAAAAAACGCTAGTTATGGGTAAATTAATTCAATAATCATTCAATACGACCAGCAATTTGCCTAATAAATTGTCTCTGGATATTAAAAAATGTTAAATATATGAAAATACAATTACGGGTTAACAGCTGGCAAAGTGGGACCAGGGAGAGTGTATACTTTCTCAATCATCACGAGAGTGTTTTCCCTCCTCCTAATTGCTGTCATTTTCGTAGAGTTTAGCCGCTATTTTCAACTGCACCGATTCAGCAGCCGGGCGATGGTGGTTTTGTAATGCCCAACGATTCACTTCTGTTGGATTTACGAACATGAGCTTTTGTTAATTTGAGACGCCAATTTAAACCGGTATTTAAAAAAATACTATTTTTGTATGGTTTTCAATGTTATTCCAATTGTGCTATCGGCATCAAGTAATAAGACGAAGTGTCCAGATTTATTGAATAGCAGTGCATCAGCCTTATGTTAAGAGGATGGCCTGCAGAAAGAGATATCACAGAACCGCTTGACATCAATTCAAGTGAACCTCTTATTCACTAGACTGCACCTTCACACATTCCCTTCCACACAGATATCACATGACAGTAAAAGTGAGATTCATAATTTGCAGAATCTCAGAACATTTATGCCAAATGAAGGGAAAAATCACGTTAATGTGATCGTTTATTTCTGAAGTTATTGGTGAAAAAATCAGCTCACTACACCCATTATAATCACGTGACACTCAGCTCCAAATTTGAACACACCTCTTCCAGTTGCTGGCTCAGTGCCCTTTCTCTTTCAAATCACAGTTACTGACCACAGGCCCAAAAGCTCAAAAAGCCAACAGCTTGTTGCTAACCGCTTGGTGTTTCATCCCTTTTTGGGCCGGTGTTCAGCAAACGTGCAAAACAAAAACATGCCTTAGATAATCAGATTACAGCAACCCATTGCTTGTAACGTCCCACTCCTCAAAACTGGAGAGATGTTTTCCAAATATCCCCACTTGCTCTAAAAAATTGGACATTGCAGACAGTGACCGTTGCTTTGCTGTAGTTCACCACTAAGCGTCTTTACAGGTTAAAGGCGCCCACGTGTGTGAGACTAGATGGCAGAGTAATGGTTAGGCTGCGGGGTCTCAAAACGGACTAAAGTAATCGGCTAATCGTTCCGGCCGCACGGTGATTGACGGCACCGACCAAGGCGGCTCCAGGAGACGATGGGGTCGGGGGTGCCCGTGGCGAGGCACTCCAGCACGGCCGAGCGCCCGGCCACCACCGTCACGTTCTGCGGCCGGACCACAATCGCCGGGTCCTGGGACTCGTTCTTCTCTCCTGCGCACGCACGCACGCCGACGGCGGTCAGCCGGGTGAAAGGTTTACGTAACCGGCAGCGACGGCTCGTCGATCGAAGTAAATAACGTGGGCTTCGTGGTACAAACGCCGAAGTGTAACCGTGAGCAAACGGAGCTGCGAGGAACCGAGAAAGCGTGCGAACGAGATGACTGGAACACTGCACTGACGATCCAAAGATGATAGTGGGTTTTTGCTCTATTATCAGCAAATGTATACCTTAATGTGTTGTTTAGTTGAGTAGAAGTGCATCGGCTGAGATTCGAACCCAGGCCTCCAGCATGACAGGTGGCTGGAGTACTTTTGCGTGAGATGCATGAATACTGATCTTCTTTCAGTCGCGTGTGAGTCTTCTCTATGTATATTAGGCTCCTTACTTTACCATTTTTCATTAATATCCGAAGACGATGGTGGAGTTAATTGATTATATGCAAGTTATTGGGATGTTCTTAAAAAATATTTCTTCACCTGTTATAATGAATAGGTAGAACGGCTTTCCACGAGACAAATCCTTCGTCACTACTCGCCTCCAATACTAGTTATTGAACTTCGTTGGTAAAATAACTGCGACCTGACTTTCACAGCTGAAAGTGACCTCAACGTATTTGTTGCTGCAAGTATACAAGGGTATACAACAATTGATCCTTGCATGGAATCGCAAACCCCTGGATTGTGACGATTCATGGAATAGCTGAGAGCAAGGGGGAGCACTGTTTCATACCGAACGTAAACCGTGTGACAAGTTCAAAGGGTTCATTGTTTCATCTATACGAGCACACTCATCATCAGCAGCAGCCATTATCTATCCACTGCACGATGAAGGTAGTGACCTCTTTGCTGTTGGAGTCGTTGCCGTCTCTCACATTCTCGCCATGCAAACATCCATCTAGCTCCTGCACGTGAGCGGATTGAACCGCTCCATCTCCTCAATTCAGGTTGCCTCGGGAAACCTCACTATTGACTCTCGCTCTGTTTTGATTTAAAGCTTTCGTGACTGCAGGGATTCATGATCTTGGTTCTTTCGGTAAAGTCACGTGACTTTACCGAAAGAGCCAAGAATATATATTCTCACTCTGTTGTTAGTCTCAATCGCTGGAACATCATCCCTTCGAGCCATGTGTCCTGCTCAAGCTCCACTTACTTTTATTACGGCAATTACTGCGTTGGGTTTCGCGGGTTTTGCCGTACAGCTCTCCGATGTGCTTTTGCGTCGTACCGCGTGCTGTCCGGAACGATGTCCGACGTTTCGCTTCCAGAAGGAGAAGCTTCCATCAACACGTGGAGCGAAACGTCGGACATCATGGAGAACAACGCACAGTGCAAACCGAAAAACACATCAGAGAGCTGCGCCCCAAATTCGTAAAACAAAAAAAAAACGGCGAGATACTAACAAAATAATGAAGTAAATTTGGGGTAATACAAAATATAAACCATTTAACTGTCCCATTGCTGATGCACGCGAGCAGCTCTGACTGATGGGAAGCCACACAAGAGGCCTGACGAGCGCTGAAAGACAGCTTCTTGCACGGCTGATCTGTAGCAGTAAGCGGCGTAGCTTTCCCCTGAAACCCCACTCTTAACAGCGGGTTGCTATTACACAACGAGCATAGCCGAGTGCGTGACAGTCTACATTTTCGGCGTGTGGATAAAGCGTGACGTATCTGCATGGGAGGCCTGCACCGAGGGTAGGGAGGGGGGGTGGTGGAGGGCGCTTTCGTGGAACCACCGCTACAAACGCCATGGCATTTGTGCGGTGGTGGGCTTCGGTGGCCGTTAATAGGCCGTCTGCCTCGAATCAAACAGTTCGGGGCAAGTGGAGAAAACAAAAACAAATGGCTCAGAGCCTGTTCAACAGAGGCGATCTGCAAAAAACGTGAGCATCAAGCAAAGCAAGTCTTAAAAAACACATAAACCACCACATCCAATTTGACATTTTCGCGCTGCGTACGGCCGTGCGCCTGGCGTACGCGCCTCGCTGCGGCACGCATCCCTGAAATATTTCTCGTCTGCATCACGGCGCCTGGTGAACAAAAGAGTGGCTTAATTGCTGCGTCTGCCTGTCAGTAGAAATCCTGCATGGCATGGTGAGGTGCCAGTCACATCTGGTCAGCAGCCAGCTGACGGGCAGGATATATACTGTCGTTTTTTTAAATAAAACGTGGGGGTGGGGATGATTCAAATTCTGAAAAGGACCAAAAGCTCTATCTTGCCCACGAGCCCCTCCCGTCTGTCCCACAGCTGCCCACTTAAAGGCTGAACATAAGCATTTCTCAGAATGCACGGTTAATTTCGGGCACGTCAAGAGCCTTTAGGTACGCCTCAAATTAACTCCATTCAACAACGGAGGAGAGCGGCAGCAGTCGGCGCCCCGAGCAATCACCGACAAGAATCGCTATCAATTCATTCCCCCCCAGCCCTCCCCCAGAAGGCAAGAGCTTAGCTCGATAACATTCATAATCCATTTTTTCGCCAAGTAAATAACATACAAAAAATTACGCGGAAAGAGAGGCACGTCCACGACAGCACTCAATTTCTCCGTTAACTCGTTGTAAGCCGCGCGTTCGTGCCGCCCAGTGAAGCGAGCGAGCAGCCGGGCCTCGCTCGGCAGTTTTGGCTGCGACGCGGAGACGCCAAAAACTTCGGGCAAAATTCAAAGGGCATCGAACATTTCGCGTCGAGATGTTTCCCAGCAACGATGGCCTCCTCCTGTGTTACGGTCTCCCCCCCGCCCCACAGCGCACGTGAAACCCGTGGCAGGGCCGCGGGGCGATCGCGGAATGGGTTAATTAACGAGGCTCCAACACCCTATTTGGGAGGGATGTTATCCACGCCGCTCGCGAAGGTCTTTGTTCGATGCCCGCCCGCCCGCCCGCTCGCCCACTCTTCCTCCCGTTCCTCGGCGGGGGCCTCACGTTGGCGGCACAGGACGCGCATACAAAACGTGCCCACAGATTTTGTCTGCTGACACGGAGGCAGCGCGGTATCCGGTGACCGGGGCAGAGGCCGAAGCGTGGACCTTGACAGCCACTAAAACACAATGCGTGGAGGACAAACGGTATCGTGTCTCATTTTTTTGTCACCCCCCCCCCCCCCAAACCGCCCCCCCCCCACCCCTACGACCATCCCATATCCCCCTCTTTCTCCCATACCCCTTCTCTGTCCGAGATGGGATTTTTTTTCTTCTCTCCCTCTAACAGTCAATGAGTAATGGCAGCCATCTTCCAGAAGGTCACTCTGACTGGCGACCATTTTCGTGGGCAAAGCATCATGGGAGCGCGATGGCAGGAGCAGCGGCATCTTCACGAGGACCTTGCAAGACGGAGGTTTTACGCATCGCTCGGCGATGTGCTGTTGAGTTGCGCGCGGTACAAGCCGAACGCCCATCGGAGAGCCGCGTGGCACAACTGCGAAGAAGCTAAGCGGTGAAGGGTTATGTGTCCGTGTCTTTCAGATATGTCTGACGTCTGGTGCTGGTGCTGATTCGTGGCTGTCACTCTGAAATATACCGCCCAGGTCCCGAGTTCTGTTTGCAGGGTGAAGTGTGTAGGTGGTGTGGCCCTCCTCTAGGTTGATTCAACACAAATTGAGCACCAAGTGTCGTTTAATTATGCCTCAACAGGAGAGAGGGACAGGGTGCTAGCTATTAATAATATAAGTGAAATAATAAAATAATTGATTTTATATGGATTCTAGTCCAATTTTCACAAGTGTTTTGCATGTCAGAGAAAATTGGAGTATCCAGAGAAAGCCCACACATATGAAGGGAAAACATGAAAAGGTCCATAAAGATGCATTCAGCAAAGCATTTGCTGTACTGCCGCCACATATCCAGCTCTTATCCTGAAATGTGTATAAGTTACAAAAAACAAACATCATGTCCACAGTGAGTCTTTCCTAGGTTAACAATCGTATCCACCATTATTTTTGTTGAGGCCCAAAAATGTGGTTAGACGAATCGTAAGTGAAATCTCAAACGGGGCACCTCCATAATGAGAACTACGGCTGATTAGGTCGGTCGGCGAGCGGGGCGGGACAGGGCGACATTTAAAGTGGAGCATGCTGCAGCGATTATTTGAAAATTGTAATTGCCCATAATTACCACCGCCTTACCAAAAAAAAAAACCACACACACAAACGACGATGCGCAAAGCAGGTTGAGTTACGTGGGAGCGTCGAGTTGCGGCGACGGCCAGCGGATTTTTTTGCGGCGACTCGTGCGTGGGGACGGCGCAGTAGGAAGACGTTGGAAGTCGAGAACGTGCACAAGATCGGCGGGCGGGCCCTGGGCAAGGCGCGTCGGTCGAAACGACGATGGCCATTGGTTGAGACCAGCGATGGCGAAAGGAGTGGAACGCGCTGGAGAGGACTCTAGTCAATAAACACTTTTTTTATTTTATTTTACCAATTAAGGCTTACTGACGTACAGTGCTCTTTTTTTCAGAATGTGACCTGGCCAACAAATGACAGCCCAATGAAGTGGCTTATCATTTGGAAATGTATAGCAGCCAAATAGCTCTAAACACGTTTGTAAATATGGGGGAGGACCCGGAGAAAAATCAACTTGAGATACACACAAACTCCAAATATACAGGTTTCAGGGTTGGGAACGAATCCATGACATCCTGTATACCAGGCGAGGTAGTTAACATCTCGCAACCGCTGCAGCCCTGTGGAGATTGAACGTTGAAATCGGCTGAGGTATAGGCACAAGATGGATTGTGGCGCTACAGGACCGTGAAATATGGAAGTGATTTGGGGAGACCTTCATCCAGCAGTGGAAAGATCATGGCTGATGATGGACAGATTGCTAAAGGAAGCACAAACGGTCACCCCCACACATGCATACTGTATAGCCCCCTAGACTGTAAGGGCCAATTGCTATTTGTGAGCACATACAAAAGCCACAAGGACATTGCGGCAAGCGGTATGCATGGGCGCCTTTTTCTCCCTGGTACTGATGTTTACACACCACACCAGGTGCA